AGCTCCAGCTCATGGTAAGTAGTCATGAAGAAAATGCGCTTCGGTCAAAAGAAAGTTCGGCCCGTTAAGGATTGTGCATGGAAGCAAGCGCCGAAAGCGCACAGTGAGGCAAGCATTGTGTAAATTGTTGCGTAATGGTTCTTGTTTTATCAAGCTTTTAGCTGCTTATACTAGTTTCCCATCGGCTTTAGAACGTTTTATGAAAGTTTCATTGGATTTAAAATGGTATGCTTGGGTAAGCACTTACTTTACTGAAGGCGTCGTTAAAATAAAATAAGTTCAAATCAGAAATGAAAAAATATTAATTGAAATAATAGAAAACTTGACATCGATAACACTGGAAGTGGAATAAAGAAATATGCACAAAAAAACGAAAAAACAGAGCTATTCATTTTAGAGGATGTATTGAGTAAAACTACACCTAAAAGCATTTGACCTTGTATATTTGGTGTTAGCCTTTTACTTTCTCTTACCAAGAAATATACTATTCCTTTTCAAAAAAAGCAACTCATTGATAAAAAGTCATAAACGATAAGACACTAAAGTAACATCAAAATGTTTGCGCAGGTAAAAGATTTTCTTTCCACTTTCGTGTTTATGGCATGTCATTTTAAAATGTTTCAGGATAACGATTTTTTATGAATTATAGCTCTCCGACAAGTAAGGGTGATGGTAAGTGTGTGATGTAGACAGAATCACAGAAAAGTTGATCACTTCGTACAGACTGAATAACACTAAATGCCTGTTTAACTGGGCACCCGTGAACAACATGCTTCTTTACTAGCTTTTCCCATAGTAGAGCGGGCTTTCGTCAATTTTAATGATGAAAACCGAAGTCACATTTCTGACTTACAGTCGACGCAAGACTTATTAACTGCTGATAGCTAGTAGAGATGGGCAAGTCAAGTTAAAAATGACTTAAGTCAAAGTCAAGTCAAATCATTTTTGACTTGTTCGACTTGACTTAAATTTTTAGAATAACTTGAAACTTGACTTGTCAAAGAAAATTTTTTCATAACCCAAGACCTGACTTAGGGTTTGTTTTTAAAAGACTTGACTTGTGACTTGCCATAAAAAGGCACGTCAAGTCATGCATATTTTTAAATCTTTTATGTATTTTAAATTTACATTAAGTACAAATCATTTTCGTCTAATCTGAGAAAAGTTTACTTTTTGTGGCGTTACAACTGCAGTATGGAAGTGCCCTCATCTATAACACCATAACAAATGTTAGTTGTAGTACTTCAGCAGCAGTTGAGAGAATATTTTCACAGAGTGGCATTTTGTTTCGACAACATAGAGCTAAAATGTCTAGACAAATGCTTCAGATGTTAACAATGTTAAAGTGTAATCATGGATTGATGTAAAACATTAGTTTTTTGTTCAATAAAAAGACATAGAAATCACGTATTCAAAACAATTTCAAGTAAATGGCTTGAGGCTTGACTTGACTTGATCATACCAGAGACCTGACTTGGTTCGACTTGAAATTTTGGTTTTCTGATCAATGACTTGACTTGACTTATCAACAAAATTTTGTTCATGATTCAGGACTTGACTTGACTTGATGTAAAAAATTCTAGAAGACTTGACTTATGACTTGGAAAAGCCCTGACTTGCCCATTTCTGGTAGCTAGGGTTCATACAGAAAAGCCTGTCCATGCCCAAGCTCTGCGCTCTGTTTTCACAAATTGATACACTACACACAGAATGCCTTGGATTAGAGGTTATTCATTCCTGTTTTTAGAGCAGATACTCTGCTGTCGATCTCAGAATAATATTTCGTGCGAAGCAATCATGACGTTTTTCTAGGGAATTTTCACCTCAATTCATGACAAATATAGTCTTTCTTTAAAAAATTTTATAATCTATAAAATCCTTAGCTTTCGATATTGACACTGGCCGGAAATGGCTAAAACCTTTCTGTTTTTGTTATTCGACTCATGGCTGAGTCCAATGTAGATATTAAACATTTCAGCTTAAGAGTAGCTGCTGCAAGTGACTTTTGTTTTCATTCTTACTTGCTGAGATCCCAAAATGCGTTTTTTGACATAAAACCGGACTCGTTGATGGTCCAGTACACGGTTTTAGACGACATTCAACAAAAATAAGATTCAAATGAGAATGTCCATCGAATTCTGAACGAAATGAGATATTTACGAGCAGTTTTTAGTCGTTTTCAGTTTCTCCGGCATATCTGTGAGAAACAGCTACTGTGAAAACAAGAGCCAGTCTCACTTCTTTTTCCGGAATTATCTTCGTAGAGATAACTCCGCAAAAAGCAGCTTGATCTGAAGAGGTAATTCGGGCATTCAAGCTATTTTCGCTGAAAGGAGTATTCTGAAATTCCTGATTGTTCCTTTAGGAATTTCCCAATTAGTTTCAGAGGCAGAAATGCTTAGCGCAGAAAATGGAATCGACGTAGAGGATTTTCATAATTTTGTTTTTTGACCCGAATTTCGTATATGGGATTTTCAAAAGTTTTCGTGTGAAAACTGCGAAGGCGATATCAAATTCAGATACGGATGAGCTCACATTATGGAGCATAGATGAAAATCTTAGGAAAACTCCAGGTCCTGAAAACGAGTTTTGAAAACCCAGGACTTTCGCGAAACCGAGTTTTCAGAAAACCAGAGCGTGTGGAGCTCTAAAGTCCAGATATTCGTAATCAACGTGGAAAACTGCGTTCAATGCTGTATCTGACGAAATTTTTGCGTGAAATAAGTTTTTCGCTGATCTAATCCGCCTGGAAAATAATGAGTCATCAACATCACGATAATAACTGATTTCACGCAAAACTTTCGTCAGATACATCATTGGACACAGTTCTCCACGTTGAGCACGAATATCCGGGCTTTAGAGCTCACAACGCGTTGGATCTTTTGGAAAATCGGGTTTCTCGAAAGTCCGAGGTTTACAAAACTCGTTTCCGGTTCGCAAGTAGAAATAAAACCGAAGAGTTTGTCTGGAACCAGAACTGCAACTGAAAACAATTTTTTAGCATGCCGAACCATGTAAAGATTTTGACATGGTTCGATGTTTCATAGAGCAGGAATATGCGAAACAATACATTGCGGTGAAAAACAAATTCCGTGTTTTGAAATTCCGTGACAATCCGATACTTTTCAAATGACTTTCGATCGGTCGAAGCACCCTGCCGAAAATTTTTCTTGGTGATACACTTACGGTTGTCTGTCTACTGTCTACAGCAAAGATGTCAGACTATTAGCTCGATTATTTCAACAGTTGTAGACTAAATACGGTGGAAAAATGAATAGCGTGACGTTTGGCCAAGCCAAAATGACTTAAATTCACAGTTCCTGCAGGATGTGGCCTTTTCCGACAAGAAAGAGTTTTTAATAGAACTTCTTCATTCGCTCCATCCACACATTTCTTCAATTTTTAACGAGAGTGTGCGCCAGAGATGGGAAAGTGTCAAATGAATTTACATTCCAATCTTCTCGCTTGTGTCTTGACCAAATTCGTGACATAAGTTCGATACTTTTCAAGCACCTCACAAGATATCTCGCGTCTAGTTTGATAGTTTTTTGTACAAACACCAGTCTCGCGCATTTTTTTCGCATTCACCCGTATTCTTTGGTGTTGTCCTGTCCGTATCACACACTATCGGGGGGAGTGCAGTTAAAAAATGGGTCAGACACGGGAATGGGGAAACTTCGCTTTTGGTTATAGGTGGCGGAGACGGAAACTACCTCTTTAGAATGTCCGTTTAGGTATGTCTACTTTTCCAATGCATTCATTTACATCATGCGTACAATCAGAAGTTCCTAGCGTGGATCACCTCACCTCATTTACCAGTAATGGTCCCCGTCATCGAAGCTATATTGTGAATCACGATACTCATTCTAACAAAAGTGTTGATGTTGAAGATCAAGAACCAAAAAAGCCGTGGAGCCTCTGTTCCCTTACATTAAATGAATGGCTTACCCTTCTCTGTGCAGCTCTACTTCCCGTCGCTATCGCTGTCTATGGTGTTATACAAGCAAATGAAGACCAAAAAATAGCTGAAGCTAATCGTAACACAGATTTAAATCTAGCGGAAGACAGGCGTGTGTATGATTTGAATGTTGCTAGTAACATGCGGCAGCAAACTGTCTATGATCAATATATCAGTTTTATGTTTGAACTTGAGAAAAATGGCTTTCTCGGACCAGAGAAAAACCCGTGGGCTTACGCTAATGCTCGGTTTCGTTCAGCGTTTCAAGAACTAGATTCATTACGAAGATCTTGGACACTGGAATTTCTAAGACAGCAACGACTGATTGGCGTCGTCGACCAACTTTTTAATCCTCAACAGAAACGCGCAGAAGATAAGGACAACACACGATCTATTGCTGAGCATGTTATAAAACTAAACGGTTTAAAGCTTGAGAACATTGACCTAAGGTGAGTCTAAAAGGATCCTACTACCATTAGATCGATCCACCCGTCAAGAGTGAGATACACATTGTTTCTGATGTAGTTTTGCACACTGAATCCAGTGATGAAAACCGCAGTTCGCTAATTCTGATAGAAAAAAGTTATGCGGAGTCCAATGCTGAAGACCTCTATTGCAGAACCTTTTCCGAAACTTTATTCTTCGTGTAGGACCTTATTTCAGCTTTAAGTGTAAGATCCCGACAAGATCTATGAATATCGCACTTTGAAAGTTTTAGATATCTGATGTGCTGGAAACTGTAGTGGATGTCTTAAAAACGATGATTCATTTTTAATAATATGTGTTAACAGGCCATTGATTGGATAAGTTTTGAGACGATATCGGAACTCAGAAGAAATTACATCGTTTTCTTGAAAACATTAGAAAATTTTGCGAAAATTATAATAGTTTGGTCATCAGCAATTGATTATGCACAGGTTTCTCAAGCAATAAGCCCTTTTCTTTGTATTTCTGACAGCAACGTGGTGACAGCTTTGGAGACGTCTCCCTTCAAAGCTAATTCAACAGTGTATCAGTGCATACTACTAAAAAGGAGTTACCGTTTTCCACACAGCTCCTAGAGTTTCGAAAAAAAACGGATTCTTGGTTCTT